CAGCGATGTCACGCTGGAATATGCGGCTTGTCCCAGTTGCGAGTGGTGCATTGTAAATGCAGTGTGCAGTGTAGTGCAGTGCAGTGATGCCACCGTGATCGACCGGCGCCAGCGAAAGACGCCCTCGACCTGCAGTATGATGCAGGTTGACAAGACCTTGCTGAAAGTTCACGCTGCACCCGCATGGAGACTTGAGTTGGAGACTTGGAGAGAGAGAGAGAGAGGAAAAAAAGAGTGTGGATGAAAACCAACCTGAGGTTCCAATTGGGAAAAGACTGGACGAACGACGTGAGCAGGGGTCAAGGAGCGACGTTTCTAAGGTGGGGCACACCCAGCGTACCTACCTTACCTTTCTCCGTTCGGGTACCTTACAGCTGGCCAGTGGCTCTTACCTTAGCACCGTAGGTTTGGTGCAAGTGCGACTGGCAAGTGCAACGGAAGGCGGAGAAGCCGCGCACTGTGAGCAAACCGTTGCGGGTCTCTCTTAGTCGAGGGACTTGAAGTGTCCGTACCTTCCCCCCATGAGAGAAGCTAAGCATCCCTGCCACCGTCTCGCGGACGTAAGACTGACGGGATAGTCTGAGCCGACTAAGACTGCCGTTTTGCCCGCACATGACGAGTCGGGTTCTAGGATATCTTGGCTCAGGGTACGTTACCTAAGCACACCAAGGTGGTGGGCGATCCCCAGGAACTCGACATGGGAAGCAAGATAGCCCAGAAGGGCAAACGGATGGAAAGTGCGGGAAGGGATGGAGTAGGAGGGACGCGACAGATTGGCGGGATAAGGTGTCATGATAATGCATAATAAAACACATTATAGCACCCTCCCCCTACCTGAGCCTGTATGTCGGGACTAGATAACGGCTGGGATTCGGGGACTTTAGACTTTGGATGATCTTGACGTCGGAGGATTGGAGGAAGTCTGGCTGGACTGGTTGGTTTTGGTTCTCGAACAACCAAAGAGCAAGCATCCGTATCGTTATCCGTAACGCAAGGTACGGACGTCTGTGAGAGCGCAGAGGGGGGACGGAGACATAGGTACGGAAACAGGCCCCTGTTCAAACAGCACCGATAAGACGGTCGTGGCTTTGCGGCTGCGAGTCTTTTTGGCGTCGTTTGGTACTGAGTATACTGCAGCTGCATCTTTCGCATGACAACAGGCCCGAACCGAGTGATTCGAAAACAAGATACCCGCCGACTACCTTTCTTCAGAGATGTTCGTGTCGTCTACGATACCGTCTATTGCAAATGTAGAACACAGATTCCATTGCTCTTTGTTCTCTGGGCCAAGACATGTTTCCATTCGTTCCTTGCATCCCCTTTCTTAAGCTGCCGTCCGAGGTGTCTGCTGATGGATGTCTGCATTATGGACTCAAAGTACGTACCCTGTCAATAACCCCTGTGCCTGAGGACCGAACCAAAAAAGATGGACCCCGGCCATGCATCTGTGCCCGCTTCACTGCTTGCTCCGTTCCGGGCCCACACAGTCTCATCAGCCACAGTCACAGTCAGAGGTGTACGTATCTACGTAGAGGTAAACGACGTGGACTTTCCTTTCCAAGTCATGCTCGACGGGAACCTCCTTGGACCTTCCGTTCATCGTCCCACCGTCCGGCTCTTATGCCTCCCTTTCCCGGCAGAATGCCAGAATCGACAGGACCAAGCCTTGAAGCCGAGCCTTCCACGGCGATCAACAACGGAGCGAGGATGAGGACGGTGGAGGTTGACCACTGACAGTCAGACAGCGTGAGGAAGATCCGCACTCGCCTCCACAGATGGTGATGCAGCGCGCATCAGACACTGGCCGCGATTTTCTCTTACGGCCCCCAAAAAGGATGGAGACTCTTTGTCCGTCTCCCCTCACTTGCTGCGCAAGGTACCGCCATTTTGGCGGAAAGCGCGACACATTCTGCGAGTATCTTGCTCTGCTTCAGTCCCCGGCCGTGGCTCATGCTTCGCGACCCACGGCGTCTGGCGTTGGACGAAAGTCACAAGACGGTGAGGACCAAAAGGATAGGCGACACTATTCGTACCGAGTACCCATAGCGGGCAGCGATCCAGAGACTGGGCCGGATGATGCGCACTCTGACCACTTACCTCATGCTTATGCGGCATCTCTCGAGCCGCAAAACACGTGGTAGTGTCAGTAGACGGATGCTCTTTAGTTGTTACTAGCCACTAGCCTGGCATCGGACACGAGGTAGGAAAGGATGGACGTTTTCTGATAGTGTAACGAAAACCTGAGGATCCGTTGGTGTGAATACCTACCTAGGCACAATGCTGAGTGTTTATCGGCGTCCAGGTCGTGGACGGATGCCGCGCGATTCGATTCAATTCAATGCGTCCATCGGGCGCGACGCCGCGAAACCCAACAAGAGAGAGCGAAAGGCACTCTGGCACTTGTCGGTCTCCCTTTTGGCCTCCCGCTTGCTGGGATAGGCCTCCCTTTTGTCGTGTGCGGTCTCTCCTCGGCCGCTGCATGTTTCTGCTCCCCCACCTTTCCCTCAATGACCACTGGGCACAAAGGAGTAGTCCAGCATCAACAGGGCAAGGAACTGCAGCAACGAGCAGGGCCATGATCCATGGCGGGTGCGATGGTGCACCTCCTATCAGCAGCCCCGATGAACCAACGGCGCGCGGCGTTGCGGCGGTGTGTAGTCATTCTGGTGTGGGAGAGCGGAGAGAGGACGAGACTGGTTTGGCTGGTTTGGCTGGACTGGATCTGGATTGGGGAATACGGGTGCATGAGGTGAGGCGCAGGACGCAGGAACAGGTCGACAACGCACACTCGCATGTACACACACACACACACACACACACACACACACACACACACACACACACACACACACACACACACACACACACACACACACACACACACACGACGTGCACAATGACCAGCTCGAATACGCCCACGCAATACTCCGTAGTGTAGACGCAAGATGGAAGAGGCGCCTACTCCGTACTGCGTATGAGAGACGGGACGGATGGGGGAGGCTAAGAGCAGCTATGCAGGAGAAGGAGAGGAAGAGACAAGGTGGAAGCGAGAGAGAAGGTCAGAAAAGGCTAAACGGGGGGGAACAAGCCGCTAAAGCCACTTGGGGCAAGGTTTACCAGCTTGGGACAGGTTCCGTCCATCGGCGGCAGGTACGAACGGTAAAGTGGCTTTTATCGACGAATGAGAGAAGGCGCGTACCTGGCACTACCCCTGTGCACCCAGTCATTGTACACTAGGTACACTAGCCACTGGCCGCTGGCTGGCCGCTGGTGGTGTTGCCCATACGTCCAGCCCCGGTCCTCGTCTTCTTTCCCCGTCAACGTCCGTCGTCCAGACTTCAAGTGTCCACATCCACGTCCGCTACGTCCACCAGTATGGGTGTGTCAATTGTCTGGTCTGGCTTTAACACTTTTTTTTTTTCCTCCTGTGAGGCGTGCGGCGTGTCTGCCCCATCCACACTTCCACACCCATTCGTGCTGTGGACGCTGAACACTGCACCTGCCGTCGACGAGAGAAAGGGACCTGGATGGGGAAGAGCAACAGCAAGAGCTGCCACAAACCCTGCTTGCTAAAAAGGGGCGGGGGAAAGAGGTTAAGGGAGTACTTTACCCTAAGTAGGTAAGGTACATTCACATGATGCGTTGCCTGTGCCTGAAGCATACGTTTTCCAAGTACTAGACTGGACTCAACCTACATGGACCTGAGCTTCAGTCTCGTTGCTCCGTACGGAAGAAGGTGCTGCGTATGGACTTACCTTATGGAACCTATGGACCGTTTCTAACTGGTGCCTTCTCATATCAACGGTCCCATCCATCCATCCATCCCCATCCTATGCCCTTGCCCATGACCATCCCGCAGACCGCACACACCACTGGCTGCTGAGCCGCCGCTGCACACCTCACGTCCCACGTCCCACGTCTGGTCTTTCCTTCCCCCTGTCATCCAAGGCTCCACTTTTCCACACCTCACCTCACCCGAACCCGACTCGCCTCACACCCTCGTCCCTCGCCCGCCCGCAACCCACACGCCTCACTCCTCTCCCGGCCCTGGGGCACTCCATCCAGACCAGACTTCCCAGCGAGTAGCCCCAGGTAGACAGCCACCCAAGTATTCGTGGTGGGAGAGAAAGTACCCAGGCGTGTCTAGAGGCGCAACATTGTAGGCGAGCAGCAAAAAAGGGAACTCCTGGAACTAAGGCGAGTCCATGAGAAAAGGTACCTTGCCTTACCTTACACACAGAGGGGAGCAGGAGGAGACAGGCACCTCACACCTACCTTACCTAGGAACAGGGTGGATTGGCGCCGGTTCCTTCGTTCGTTCGTTCGTCTGTTCTGTTCCCTTTTTTTTTTTACTGGGGCCCGCCGCCTCGCGCCCATCCATTCCTTTTCCTTTTTCTCCTCTCTTGCCCCCGTCCCTCCTGGTGTTCTTCCTCATCCCATCTCCTCATCGTCATCCTCGTCGTTCACGACAATCCCTTCCCTCCTATTCCTCTTCCCCCACTCCTTTTTTTTCCTTTTCACAGTCACTCTCTTGAAATAATTCAACCATCTCAGCTTCTGAATCCCGTCACTCCTTTCCGGGTATTCTTATTACGTTCCTTCCCGTCTGGTTGAATTACACACATTCGTTCTTCGCGAACCAAACGACACTATTCACACAAATCTCACCTCTTGTTCCCCCTGTTGGATCAGAGACCACGCTCCTTAGCATCTTTTGCCTCACAGCTCATTCTATACCTTCCCTTAGCTTTCACAGCACCATACCTGTTACCACCCAATTACACCTAGTACCGCATCTGCGCGTTTCCGTGAACCAAACGATCCTCGATATCCCGATCACCTCCTGGACGCGACTAATACCGAGACTCCTTCACCTCGCGAACATCCGCCCACCCTGATCTGATCAACCACATCGCACCACATCACAAGCGATCAACCTCTTCGACTTCATTCTAACCGAACGAAGGAATTTAGAAAAGGAAAAAAAAAAAGAAGGAGACATGGCTACCGAGGTCGAACACCCCGTGGGCCTCGTCCAGCAAGTCTCGACACCCGGCTCATCAACCCCTCAGGATGTCTCTCCCACATCCGCCCACAAGATGGACCAGACTCCTTCCCCCTCCACTTCTACCCACAATGGACAGCCTCCCTCTTCGCAATCAAGGCGCCCGCCGCGCAAGAGCACCCTGACCCAGCAGCAAAAGAACCAGAAGAGACAGCGCGCGACTCAGGACCAGTTGACAACTCTGGAGGTGGAATTCAACAAGAACCCAACCCCCACTGCCACCGTTCGTGAGCGGATAGCAGAAGAGATCAACATGACTGAAAGGTCTGTTCAGATCTGGTTCCAGAACAGGTACGCTCTACTGCCCCTCGTCTTCCGGCTTTACAGCCTGGTGCCCCTGATTCACCACTAACATACTCCACAGACGCGCCAAGATCAAGCTTTTGGCCAAGAAGAGCCTCGAGACCGGCGAAGACATTGATTCGATCCCCGAGTCTATGCGAGCCTACCTCGCTATGCAGGCTATGGAGTCTGGCAAGGGACTCGGCGGCCCCTTCCTTGGCCGTACCGGCCTTCTCCCCTACGGCCACAACAATATGCTTCTCGGCGGTGACCAGAACGGTCAGGGCAAAGTTTGTAAGTCGAACAAGTTCCTGGCAAATCATCGACGAAAGCAGCACTAACATGCTCAGTGATTCATCATCTCACCTGCCGCTCTTTGAGCATCGGGAAGTGGACTCGTGTGGGACAGAACACGATGGATCTCATCATCTTCTACTCCCCAGACAAGTGCACGATGACCTACTACATCAACAACGAGCAGGCGGGTTACAAGATCGAGTACCCTTTTGCTTACATCAAGAACATCTTCCTCGAGAACCAGGAGGGCGACCCCAACAAGCCTGGTGGCATCGTCATCGAGCTGAACCGGGCTCCCAACTTCTTCATGGACTCCTCTCCCCAAGCCAGCGGATTCTTCCAGTGTGGCGACTTCACCGAGGACCAGCAGGCCTCGCACTGCTTGGTTCACCACCTCGGTGGCAACCCTAAGGTTCTCAGCGGCCAGTTGGCCAAGCTTGTTTCCTTGGAGGCCTTCATGAACCGCAACAACCCGCACCCCTTCATCGATCAGCAGCACGCTCTGTCCATGTCCGCTCCTGTGTCGCCCAGCCGCCCTTCATCGCAGCCCAACTTTGCCCAGCCGCACGTTGGCATGTTCCAGGAGTCTTGGGGCATCAACCACATGCATCCCGGTATGCGTGGACCTGGCCACAAGAGACAACGCAGTCGCTCCGTGCCCATGGCCGTCGATTTCTCGATGCTCCAAACGCCCATGCCCTCCTTCTACATCCAGCAGCCGGGTGAGATGGCTGCTCCTCAGACGCCTGGTCCCAACATCTACGCACCGATTCCTCAGCAGCCTGGTGGACTCGGCCCGAACTTGAGAATCGACACTCAAGCCGGATTCGGTCTGGACATGCGCCAGTACCCCATGTCTGCCACCACCGCCTCTCCTTCCGAGTTCCCGACGAGCCCCAACTTCTTCTCCCAGGGCCCTGAGCCGAGCCCTCTCCCGGCCGCTTCCAGCTACAACACGCCGTACGGCAGTGCCTTCCTCTCTCCAATGGCCCACCCGTCACCGAGCATGATCCCGCCCTCCGTGTCTCCCCTTTCATTCGGCAGCCACCACGGAGAGCCGTCCATTGTTGAACAGTCACCTCCGCTCTCCATGCTCGGTAGATCTGCTTCCGCCGATATCTACCAGCAGGGCGACAACGGATCATGTGCCGTGTCTGATGATGGCACCGGCCTGAACGAGATGTACTCCAAGCACACCATTAACCTGCCGATGCACCCTCACTCACCTGCGTATGGTGAGCAAGGCCACAACGACCTCGACATGAACCAACTGGTCCAGTTTGACCACGTTGACCCCAACTCAATGTCTCCCGAGTCCATGCACCAAACACCCCACTGATTCCTGAAATCGGCCTGCCGTGCCTGAATAAGTCTGGAAGAATCTGGAGTTCCTTTCACTAGGACATGGCGTACATACAAACTTGGGAAGGCGTGCTCTCTCAAATGGTTTATTCGGGAGAGAGGAGTTGCTTGCCTTGGTCATTCACAGCTGGCGTTTTAGGCGCTCGACATATACCAGATGGGGGTTGCGCTTGGTCTACTTTCAACACCGATGACTATGATGTGTGATTTAGTTATCGCTACCACATCATCCATCGGCCACGACGACTCTGCATGACGATACCTCTATTCGGAATCTCGATCATGCATGTCCGGCACAGGCGATCGTACCTTTGCACTTTTTTGGATTTACTTCACCCTTCGAGTCATTTATTGTCGCGAACAAAAAAAAACCGGCTTCTGGTACGAGGGTGTGGGCATCTCATCATACCCCAATCCATCACCAAACCTAGTCCTTTAGCCACGCCTACCTCGCGGAGACGATGGCGTGGCCTCTAATATCCTTCCCTTCTCTCTTGGTTGGCTTGCGCTGCACATCGCTGTCTCGTTGATTCTTTTTTATTTCATCTGTCATCGTTCATGAATCTCAGATGTCCTGGCTGCGGGTTTTGGAGGATGAAAATGGGGAAAAGCCCAGGTGGCTTGGGATTTTCCTGGTTCGTAATCAGTCACACACACAACACACATTTTTTATTGAGGATATACAACTCTCTCAAGACACATTACTTGTTTACCTATATTATTGGGTATTTTCTTGGTTTGATGGGTCGTGGGAGCAGGGGTTTTGTGGCTTTTATTGTTGTTCGCCGGCACCGAAAGGGGTGGTAATGGGAAGCTGCCTCTGGTGGCCGAGCAGCGAAGAGGCTTGGCCGGCTGCTTTTCGAAAGAGGAGCGGCTGGCTTGTAAGCACTGACGATAGAGTTGAGAGACAGATGGGCATTGAATCCCTGTTATCCCACTTTCAAATTTGTTCCCCTAATTGTGATGCGACTTTAATAATTCGGGAGTGATCAACCCCTTACGATTCTCCGGCGATGTACCATGACTACGACTGTTGTAGTGAACCGATGCAACCTGCAAGACCCCACAGGTCCTGATATCAGAGGTGAGGCTTAACCAGAAGTGACTCTGCTACTGTCGATGTGACGGTTCGACACCCCGCCCATTATGCCCATGGAGCTTGGACGTATGCAATTCCATCTGATGTATTTCTCATAAGTTTTTGCGGGTAAGGCTGAAGAGAATCTGATCTACCTTGAGCGCCCGGGGGGGGGGGGCGGGGGGGGGGGGCTTATGGCAGCCGCGTGCTCTGTTACGCAGCAAGGCAGGCAGGCTTGGACATGTTACGCGAGGTCGTGTTTCGCAGAGTCGTATGCTCTGCCCCAAGAGTAGAGATACAGCGTATTACTGTATACGGCATTTACGAGAGTGTGCGCCGGAGGAGGATTCAACGTGTAAGACCAAAGGCAGCGTGAGGTCTCGACTGGTCGGCTGATGCTTGTCCATCACTTTTAGCCTAGCTTAGCGGAGGACGTTGGCGCGCGAGCCTGGCTGGTCCAGAGAGGCGGGGATGGATGGATGGGGGAGTGGGTGGGTGCTTGGAGTGCATCTGGCGAGCGAGGTGGCGGCCCGCTAACACGAGGTTTTTTTGGGGGGGCTCTGAGGGACGCTTTGTGTACCCTAGATAAATTCAGGTAAGCCGGGCGAGATCTGGCCATGATTGACTGTTCTGTTGAATCGTAGCACAGATATGCAGTGCCTCTCTCTTTTCTCTTGAGATGTGTTTGGTTTGCGGCTCCAAGGGAGCGGATCAGACTGGAACAATTCAAAGGCATTGTGGACTCGGACGATTGCACTTTCGGTGTGGTGTGAACGTTTTGACGGAAATATCCGGCAGTATGGTATGGGATATTGCTCGATATTTCGAAGAACGGTCGGGAGCCAGGTGCCATGCTGCACTGCTGCAGGCATCAACGGATGGAAATGAGATGAGACGGCGTTACTTTCCTGGAGGCCGGAGCGGAGGGGGGTCTGTGGCACCTTGCGGGTGGGAAATGCAGCCGGATACAGGGAACTCTAATCATTTCGTGGTGAGGTACTGTAGAGATCGGGTAGGGTGTTCTTTTCCCCTTCTCCCCTGCAATATCCGCACAGGAAAATGGTACGCATTAGGCAGTATTCAAAGGTCTCTTGAAGATCTAGGAAGGCCCCTGCAATCTCTAGAGGCTACCAGCGATCGGCCACGTTCGTCTGAAGGACGACGACGGTCTTGTACTCCTCTTTCGTGTGCTACTTGAACTCACGTGAGATGATGCGAGTTGGGGCAGTGTAGCTGCATAGTAGCGTAGTGTAGGTGCCTGTGGATGTTGTCAGCGACTTTGCTGCTTTCTGTCAATCGCGTGGTTGTTGAATAAGCTACAAAGTAATTAGTCGGACTTGCATCTGCCACTTGAAGGATGGTCTTCTTTCGGTCCACACCCACACAGACACACGACATTTGCCAAGTCATGGATGACGGGCAGTGTTGGTGTTGCTTTCGCATTCGCAATGTTTCAGAGCGTGCGGAAACACCCAGAAAAGTGTGTGATGGGAGCTGTGACGGTCGCCAAGGTGGTCAATGACTTGTTGAAGTTGTCGTTGATGAATGGATGGATGGATGACCGATCGAAACCTTTTTCCTGAGATCGTCCGCAGCTTCCGACGTCCGTTCGGATAGCAGGCAGGTTGTAGGCGGAGCGGGTCCTTCTGTGGTTGGAGATGGGCGGACAGCTCGGTACGTACTGCTGTACCCTCGGCCTCAGGGAGGATGGAATAGAAGGAATGGGTGGGGTGGGTGTTGGCTCCTGCTTCGCTCGCACTTTGGTGATTCCAAGCTGGGAAGTCGAGGTGCATCCCATCTCTTGCCCAATGACGTCCTCAATGCGGGGGCACGGCGAAATATCGAATTGGCTGCTGCTACTGCTGCTGGCCCACCAGTCGGAAGCCGGGACTTTCCCATTTTCTCCATCCCCGGGGCGCTGCTGGCCTGCTGCTCTTTGGCGGCTGGCCACCTGAACTTTTCTCTCTCCCGCTCCCCGGTCCTTGACGGGAAAGTCTCTATTTGGTCGCTCTTCATTCGCCCGTGTGCTGTACGTGTATGGAGTACTTGATGCTGTTTCTCGCGCCCGACCTGCCGACCGCGATGGTCCCACGGATTCATGGATCCAAGGAAACAACGTTCCTCGTCTCCGCAAACCGCAGATGAGCGCGTGGTGGGTGAGGAGCTGTTCCGCGGGCTTTTTATTGATTCGCACGAGTACTTCGTAAGGAAACATCGGGCAACAAGACGGCCGTGGCAGTGCAGAAGAGGCGCTAAGCCCGCATCAGAGACTCAGACAGGTCCTCCCACCTTGAGGCTCGCCTTGCAAAAAGTGTACCGGTAACCCTTTCTCCATTGATTGGGGGCTCCAGTACATATTCGTTCCTGGGTATTCCCACACAATGCCCCAGAGGTCCAAGACCAACCCACCAGGTCACCGACTCACCAGTGAGCCGCGGCCTGATAATCTTGACTTTTTGCCAAGCGCCTTGTCGTCGTCCATACTTGCGTATTGAGGGCGGCGCAGCTCTGTACGCTGCAACCTTTTCGGCTCTACTCGTGTTTACTCGCGGGCTGTCTGCCAAGTACCAAGAGGAAGACAAGAAACTGCCAAGGAGCTCTCATCTACTCTCCCTTTGGGTACAGAGTATCCAGGTAATCTGCCAACGATTAACGAGTGCAGTTGATGGGGGAGCATCGATCTAGTTCCATTTACGGGGACCTTCCGCCGGCGCTTCCTTCGGCGTCCGCCTCTTACGGGAATACAACACCGCCCAGCCTGCCAAATTTTTCCTTGACGTCTCTTGTTCTCGATTCGAGGCTGGCTCGCCTTGTTTACTACTCAACACCACTGTTGAACAACATCAACACCATCGGCATTTTCCTGAATTGTTAATCTTCAAGGTGACTGCTCTCACTCACTTGCGCACTATACCCGCTCGTAACGTCGCCGCAATCGCAGATCCTATCACTTTCCTAAGACGCTTTCAGTTCTTCCTGCAAAAGCATTTATATACGTTTCTGTTCAGCTTTTAGCCACCTGCGCTGGCCCGGCACTTGGAGATCCCACGACTCCAAAGGACCACGCCAGATCCAGAAAGGAACGCGCCGCCACCACCAAGACGAGCCCAATGAAGAGCTTCATGGCCGAGCCACTCTGGTGAATCCGGGCCGCTTTCTAAGGGATCCGTCTGGAACAAGCCCATTTTTGCCGTCCTTCTAGTCTCGAGCTAGCCTTGACCAGCTAACCACCACTGTGGTTCTCGATCCGCGCTTCTGGGGGCTAGACTGAGACTGCCACTGCGCAGTGTACGGCCTAGACAGAAAGCGACAAAGCCTCGCCTCGCGCGCCCCTCAAGAATGGACAGGCGGCATCTGGGCGACGCCCCTTCACAGCAACATGAGGACGCTGACCCCGCCCCAAGCACGTCGTCGAGTTCAACCTCCTCCAACCATAATGACAACGATCTTCATGACATATCCTCGCCATCAGTGAACCCCGCGCCGCGCGCAGCGCAACGAATTCACCCGAGACGAGCCATCACCGAACCCATGGGGAGCAAAGGCGCCCTCGACGGCGGCCATGTCCGTTTCTCGGACGAGCTTCAGCGCGACTCCAGGCGTAGCTTCGACCCGCCGTCATCGCACCCGAACTCAAACAGGCCGGGGCTCTATACGATTCCCTCGAGGGGTGATCTTGAGGGCCATATCCAGGACCAGGATGAGCCCTCGTCCTCACGACCTCGACGGGGCAGCGACCACAGCTCCGCGCAGCCTTCAGACTCTGATCTCAAGTACCCAGTCTACCGACCAGAGCCAACGAAAAGGACGAAATGGCGTGTTGCGCAGGAGTCGGTGAGCGACCAGCTGAGGAAGGCCTACAATGTGTACATTGTACAGGGATTGTTGCGACAGAAGCCGCTCCCGCCGAGCGCAGATGGAAGGCATATCCCACTCGACATGTCAAGGAGACGGAGTGACCATCTCATCGACGAGCGCACTAAAAAGTCGTACGCCAGTAATTTTATCCGATCCAGTCGATACACGATATGGAGCTTCCTGCCCAAGCAGCTCCTGTTCCAGTTCAGTAAGATGGGCAACTTCTACTTCCTTGTCGTCGGTATCATTCAGGCCATCCCAGGACTCAGCACTACGGGTCAGTGGACTACCATTGCACCTCTCGCCGTGTTTGTGTCATTGTCAATGGCTAAAGAAGGCTACGACGACTACCGCCGGTATCTGTTGGCCAAGACGGAAAACTTGAGTCGCGCGTGGGTTTTGGGCGACCGATCCAAGAAGGCGACAGCGAGGATGAAGAGGCACAAGGGTGGCGAAGTTGCTGAACACTCGGCAGATGGATGGACCGAGATTGAATGGCAGGACCTCAAGGTTGGCGACGTCGTCAGACTTCAACGTGACGACGACATTCCGGCGGATATCGTCCTTCTGTATGCGTCTGGACCCAACGGGACAGCTTACATCGAGACTATGGCTTTGGACGGTGAGACGAATTTGAAGGCGAAGAGAGCCTCACCTGTTCTCGCTGAGAGGTGTCAAACTCTGCAAGGCATCGAGTCTTGCCAGGCAACCATCGTTTCCGAGGACCCGAATCTGGACCTTTACAGGTATGACGGACGTGTCACTGTCAACGGAGAGACACTACCTCTGTCACTCGACAATGTCATCTACCGTGGCTCGACGGTGCGAAACACTACAGAAGCTATCGGCATCGTCGTGAACACGGGTGAAGAATGCAAGATCCGAATGAACGCTCACAAGCATGTACGCACCAAAGCGCCTGCCATGCAGCGCGTCCTTAACAGAATCGTCGTTTGGCTCATAGTAGTGCTACTCGGCCTCAGCAGCGGTCTTACCTTGGGCCACTACCTGTGGCGAGACCCCGCCGAGTCTTCTTGGTACTTCATGGGCGAGCGCATTAGTATGAGAAAGATCTTCATTGCTTTTATACTCATGTTCAACACGCTCATCCCGCTTTCGTTGTACATCAGTTTGGAAATCATCAAGATCATACAGTTTTACATGATGGGAGACGTCGAGATGTACGACCCGGTCACTAATACGCCAATGGTTGCCAACACCACAACAATCCTCGAAGACTTGGGCCAAGTTAACTACGTCTTCTCGGACAAGACAGGCACCTTGACGGAAAACGTGATGCGCTTCAGAAAGATGAGCGTCGCTGGTACCGCATGGCTGCACGATATGGATATTGAACGAGACGAACACGCCAAGCAAAAGTTGATTGAGATGGCTCGGAAGAAGCGCAAGGGAAAAGGCAAGGACAAGAACCGCGAAAAGCCAATGAGTGATCACGACAACCATTCATCATTGACACCAGCACAAGGAAGGCCATCTATCAGCACGTATGGACGGGGACGCTCTACAAGTCGGGCACCTCAAGCCGAGCCCGAGCTCAAGACGGAAGATCTCCTTGACTACCTGCGACGCAAACCGGACAGTGTCTTTTCCAAGAAAGCCAAGCAATTCCTACTCTGCATCGCTCTCTGCCACACATGTTTACCCGAGACCAAGGTAGACGGCGAGATCGAATACCAAGCTGCTTCTCCTGATGAACTTGCTTTGGTTGAAGCTGCGAGAGATCTCGGCTACCTTCTCATTGACCGGCCTGCGCAATCAGTCATTCTCCAAATGCCGGAAGCTGACGGAACGATCAAAAGAGAGACGTACCAGGTGCTAGATGTCATTGAGTTCAGCAGTCAGAGGAAGAGAATGTCCATCATCATGCGTATGCCAGACGGCAGAGTATGTGTCTTCTGCAAAGGGGCTGACAACGTCATCCTGCCTCGTCTCAAGCTTAGCGGTCTTGCCACACAAAAGGCGAGCGACGTCAATCGGAGAGCCTCGATTCGTAGGAGTGTGGAAAGAGAAAAGGCACAACAGCGCCTCAGCACTAGTGGAACACCCCGCAGCAGCTTCGTAATCGGGAGAACATCAATGTCGGATCGACGTAGCATGATGAATCAGAGAATCTCGGGTGACATGCTCAGACGATCCAGCGCCGTGACCGACGACGCCGACGCATGGAACTCACGCAGGGGATCGGCAGACATCCTCTCGCCCATGAGTGCCCACGAAATCTGGTCATCGCCACGTCACAGCATGGCCATGTCCGCGAACGAGGATGAAGTGGACGAATTCATTGACGAGTCAGTGGCTCTCAACGAGGGCACTGTCCTCGAACGATGCTTTACGCATATCAACGAGTTTGCTTCGGAGGGCCTGCGGACTTTACTTTACGGTTACCGATATATCAGCGAGGATGATTATAGCACATGGAAAAGGATCTATCATGATGCCACCACCAGTTTGGACAATCGACAAGAGAAGATCGAGGCAGCCGGCGAGCTCATTGAGGATAAGTTCGAACTTGCCGGTGCCACCGCCATCGAGGATCGATTGCAAGAGGGTGTACCAGAAACGATTGAAAAGCTCCGTCGCGCCGAGATCAAGGTTTGGATGTTGACGGGAGATAAGCGCGAGACCGCCATCAATATCGGCCACTCTGCCGGCCTGTGCAAACCGTTCTCCGAGGTTTTTATCCTGGATGCTACAATGGGCAACCTCCAAGAGTCAATCTTGTCGACCTTGGGTGAAGTCGCCCGAGGTATGGCACCGCACGCGGTAGTAGTGGTTGACGGTCAGACCTTGGGAATCATTGAAGGAGACGAGGACCTCAGCTTCCTCTTCTTCGACCTTGTAGTGAGGGTCGACTCGGTCATCTGTTGTCGCGCCTCTCCCTCGCAGAAGGCCACTCTTGTCAAGCGCATTCGCCGGCAAGTACCTCACTCCCTGACTCTGGCCATTGGCGACGGCGCCAATGACATTGGCATGATCCAAGCCTCGCATGTTGGTATTGGTATCTCGGGCCGCGAAGGTCTTCAAGCCGCTCGCATTTCCGACTACGCCATTGCGCAATTCCGCTTCTTGCAGCGTCTTCTCTTTGTCCACGGCCGCTGGAACTACCTTAGGACTGGCAGATATATTCTCGCCACTTTTTGGAAGGAAATCGTTTTTTTCTTACCACAGGCTTACTTTCAACGTTACACGGGATACACCGGAACGTCTCTATATGAGAATTGGAGTTTGACGGTGTTCAATACTTTCTTCACGTCACTCGCGGTTATCCTATTGGGTGGCTTGGAAAAGGATTTGCAAGCCAAGACGCTCCTCGAATTCCCTGAGCTCTACACCTTTGGCCACAAGAACAGAGCTTTCAACATCAAGCTGTATATTGGCTGGACATTCCTCGGGCTGATTGAGTCTCTCATCATTTTTTGGGTGACCTGGGCGGTCTACAACTCGCTGCCCTTCGATCAGGACACATCACTCTATGCTATGGGATCTGTTCCCTTTACGGTTGCTGTGGTGTTTATCAACATCAAGTTGCTGTGAGTTGCTTTTCGTGGAATTGCGCATAACATTTTGCTAACGATCTTAGGGTTCTTGAGATGGAAAACAAGAACATCATCATTCTGGCCGGATTCCTCATCTCGGTCGGGGGTTGGTTCTTGTGGAACATCATTCTATCCGCAGCTTTCCGGCCCATCTTGCGCATCTATCAGCTTCGACACGCGTTCATTCACAACTTTGGTCGAACCCTAAGCTTCTGGACTACTATTCTCCTTGCACTTGCGACGGTTATCTGCTTGGAGCTGATAGTCGATGCGATACGCCGGGTGTACTGGCCGCGCGATGTCGATATCATGCAGCGCCTTGAGAGGAAGGGCTTCGACGCAGATGACGTGACCGAGGGAATGGAAGGTGGCCACGGCGACACCTCTGGAACGATGTTGGAAGTTATCAGCAGCAAGACCAAGTCGGTCTTTGGCCATACGGAGGAAAGGCCCTCGAATCTTGACGGGGCACCTAGGCCAAGTCACTCCACCACTCGGCCCTCATTCCACCACGCACGGCAGTCTCGAAGGTCGAGAGACGAGTCGGCCGCCAGATCTTTCACACCCCCGGTTGAAGAAACCAACATTGCAGAACCAGAGCTGAGTGTTTCGGAGCCGACAAAAAAGCCACGCCTCTCTGTGACAACGAGGTGGTTGGGGAGCGCAAAGAACACCCACGTGAATGGCCCCATTGAGCTGCGGTCAACGGGTCAATCATCTAGGTCATAGGGAAGAGGAGGGGAAAAGGGGTTTCGTTATTTGTGTACATAATTGGCCGTTTTGATTTATCATCACGGTTACTCGGACTGTCCTTTTCTAGTTTCGGGGGTTTGGTTTTCGTTCTTGATACCACAAAGCATGATGGGTTTCCCTTTTACGTTTGGCGTTTTCAGAGGTCAAACATTACTCGGCAGTAGACAATGGGGGGACTGCATACAATAGGCAGGCGTAGTAGTCTGTGTACATACGGGAAAAGACTATGCAAGGAATTCAAGACTCTCTCAACTATCACAATGATTCCATCTGTGTGCATCTGTTGCGTCTGAGAATACAGAGCTGTTATGCTTTATTATGCATTAAATCAAGGGCGAAGGATAGAGAGAACCTGGCTGTGGTGTGTATACATGATCATGCATATGGCGATTAGTTTGTCCCTGTAGGGCATCATGATTGGTCGAGCGTTGGTGATGAGACGTGGAAGGGTTAGTTGTCCTCCTTCTCGTCCTTCTTCTCATCCTTGGAGTCTTCCTTCTTCTCCTCGGACTTGTCTTCCTTCTTGTCGTCAGACTTCTCTTCCTTCTTGTCTTCGGACTTCTCCTCCTTCTTATCGTCAGACTTCGCCTTCTTGTCCTCTGACTTCTCTTCCTTCTTTCCCTCAGACTTCTCCTTCTTATCGTCAGACTTCTCTTCCTTCTCCTCACCCTTCTTCTCGTCCTTGGACTCCTCCTTAGGCTTGTCCTCAGACTTTTCCTCCTTCTTCTCATCCTTAGGCTTCTCGGACTTGTCTTCCTTCTTATCCTCTGACTTCTCCTCAGACTTGTTGTCCTTCTTCTCCTCGGACTTGTCTTCCTCCTTGTCCTCAGACTTGGACTCTTCCTTTTCCTCAGACTTGGACTCCTCTTCCTTCTCCTCCTTATCCTCCTTCTCCTCAGGCTCATCGTGCTTCTCCTCCTCGTCATGCTTAGCATGAGCGGCGCCATGGCCCTTGGACGGCGCGGGACCGCTCCACGGCTGGATGACGGCCAGACCGGCGGCGAAGAAGACTACTGAGCCAATGGCACTGTATACATGGAAAAGTGGTCAGACACGTCTTCCTCGGGCAAATAGTGACTGACAATCGTCCCTCTTCACAAAATATGCTCAATTGAAAGAGCCAATTGATTTCTCAATGGGTATACAAAGGCAATTGACTTACAGAGGGAGCTCGCTTTGGGGCTTCGCGCCATGTTGGCTGGCGTAGGTCCTCTGGCCGACCTGGGAACGGAACTGGGGACGGATCGTCCGGCGCGCCGAGGATCGGAGGGCGGAACGCAGGGAAGCAGCCCTGGCGAAAGACATGTTTTTGGAATTGTACTTAGTTGAACGCAGGGAAATGCTCAAGTCGCTTCAAGCAAGGAGGAGGCTCAATGGCAAGACCAATTGGAATAGTTGCGAGTGTCCTTTGTACAGAGAAAAGGAGAGAAAGAAAATAACAGACCAAGAGAGCAACACGAGAAAAACCCGCTTGGGAAGCACGTAAGGAAGCCAAAAGAAAAAAAGCTGGGGTTGGATTGGTGTGGCTTGGCCTTGGTTTCTGGCCTGTTGTGCTGGCTTTGAGTGACCTGCCGTCCGAAGTCTAGGAGCTCGGAGCTGCGAGCTCTCTGCCTCCAGCTTGCACCAGCAACGAGCTTCCAGAGCCATCGGCCAATGGTTGCGAAGAGGCTGGACACTTCCAGATGCCGGGGGTGGCTGGTTCTCCCCACAGCTTTGTGATGACGACATTTGCCGGGGGTGTGCCGAATGGGCCCGCACGACATACCTACCTCGATCCCGAAATGGGGAGATGGGAGCTCAGGTCAAGGTGTCAAGGTCCACTCGATTGCTTATCTAATCTTCAGCCGGAATAACTCACCGGAGAACGAGCTGGGGCCGGCACGGACTTGATCCAGGGACTTACATAACGCTCCAGCGTGGTGGAGGTCACTGCGGGTAAGGCACCTCAGAGCCCAGTGGTAGGTAGGGGTCCACTTTCGCGGGGCAAGAACGTCCCGGAACAGGTAGCATTGAGGGGACCTCTGTCCGTATTGTCTGAGGTACCTACTGGGCTGTCTAAGGTAATCCCGCCCAACGCCCTTCCTGCCTGGAGCTCTGGAACTTGTAACCCCACCACCAACAACACCTCTTTCACGAGGGTCTCTGTTGTCGTGATCCAAAGCCAACATCAAAAATTGCCAACCCAATTTACCGCCCCGATACACATCGTATCTTTTCGTCATCTTTTCCCTTCTCGCGGGACGGTCGACCTTCTTTCCTCTTTCCTCTGCATGGTCAGAGCAACCGATTCCCCGTTGACACGCCACCTGCCGCGATAACCTCCTCACCTCCATCACCCTCGCACGTAGCGAACAAGCCCGGACCATACACTTCAAGATGGCTTCCTCAAGCGTCCCCGCGAATCCGACGCCGCAGACGGTGATCCAGCTCGTGCAGAAGCTGGGAGATGCAGACCCGGATTTCCGCTTCATGTCGCTCAACGATCTGCTCCAGGTCCTGGCCAACGGCAAGCCTGACTTTCTGCACCACGACTACAACGTTGCCGCACGTACTGTTGATAGCATCATCAAGGCGCTCGACGACCAAAATGGAGAGGTGCAGAACCTGGCGATCAAATGGTGCGAGAATCCGAACTCCCCCTCCCATTCAAATCCCTTCTCCAAACACCCAACGAGCAATGGCAGGAGCTAACCGGTTTCCCTCCGCAGTCTCGGGCCGCTGGTCATGAAAGTACCGACCCCGATTATCGCACCAATGATTGAGAAACTCTCTGCAATCAAGCTTAAGAACTCGGTTGACAATGCTGTTCCCTCGCTCGCCCTCCGCGCCGTCATCATGGCCCTTCCGAAACCCACACCCGGCTTGCCGCCCGCCAAGGACGTGACAGAATCATATCAAGCCGTCAGCCGCGTTCTGATCCCGCGGCTCTTGGGACCCGGCGGCAAGGTGCAGCCGCAGAACCTTTCAAACAATATCCAGCTGCCGCCCGTCCCGCAGGGTCTCCTTAAGGTGGACAAGGACCTGAGCGCAGAGTCGGTAGATATCCTTATCGAGGTTGTCAGATGCTTTGGCGTGATGCTCTCGCCCCTCGAGGTCGAGGCGATGCAAGATGCCGTCATTAGTCTGCTCGAGAACGACAAGACATCATCAGTCGTGAAGAAGAGGGCTGTGGTGGCTACTTCGATACTTGCTATTCACCTGTCGGACGACTTGCTCAGCCAGATGGTCGAGCGAATGGGCAACGATCTGAGCAAGGCCGATATTTCTGCAGTCACACGCCGCCTCTACATTTCAATCACTGGCTCGTTGGCGAGATCGATCCCCAACCGTTTCGGCTCATACTTGAAAACTCTGGTGCCTTTCATTCTCCAAGCTTTGAGCGAGGGTGAGCTTGAGAAGCATCTGGAGGAGATTAGCGACGGAGACGACATTGGCCAGGAGTTCAACGAGGTGCGAGAATCAGCTCTCGTGGCCCTAGAGTCATTCCTCGCCGCTTGCCCGACGCAGATGCGCCCCTTTACCGACCAAACCATCCAGGCGACCCTCAGATATCTGAAGTACGACCCCAACTACGCAATGGGCGACGATGACGAAGACATGGACGTTGACGACGAGGATGAGGACGAGGACGATGATGAATTTGAAGACGATGCTGGCTTTGATGACGATGACGACGCAAGCTGGAAGGTCCGTCGTTGTGCCGCCAAGGCTCTTTACACCCTCATCTCAACCCGTGGAAGTGGCGATTTGTTAGAGAACGGTGTTCTATACAGCCAGGCAGGACCCACTTTGGTAAAGAGATTCGACGAGAGAGAGGAGAACGTCCGTCTAGAAGTCATTGCTTGCTTGTCTCTTCTTGTGCGCAAGACGGGCGAGGGCATGTATCCCACAGACCTCTCCCTCGACGACCACGAGCCCGAGGCGCCTAGCTCCATCCCCATCAGCAGAAAACGCAGACGTCAGAGCAGCGGCGGCGGTTCCATGAACACCCCGCATGCCGCCACAGGTCTTACGTCTCCCACCCTCGAGAGAATCCCTTCAACTGGGCCCCGCGCAGATCTGGCTCGGTTCACCCCGACGATCGTGAAGGCTTCCACAAAGTTGTTGAAGGGCAAGGTTATTCCTACCAAGCAGGCCATCATCAATCTCCTCGATGATATCATCACAGTCCAGCGAGGTGGTCTTTCCGACTACTTCAACGACGCCATCGGCCCCATCATTGAGTCTATTAAACCCACTGGAGCCTCAGCACTCGCCTCATCTCTGGCTGCCTCTGGTGGAAATGCGTCCGCGACACCCAGTACTCTGCGTGTTGCCGCCCTGAAGCTCACCAGCGATATTGCCAAGACCCACTCGTCGAGTCTTTTGCAGCCGTACTTGACCAAGATAGTGGCTGGTGTCATTTCGGCAGCCAACGATCGATTCTACAAAATCTCAAGTGAGGCCATCGGAACGATCGAGGAGTTGGTAAAGGCAATCACTCCCCCTCGGTCCAAGATGACGGCACAGAAGTTCAAGGGCGAGCTCCAGAAGCTCTTCGACACGATCATGAACAGAATTACTGCGACAGACGCTGATGCTGAAGTCAAGCAGCGTGGTATCCACGCCTTGGGAGTCTTGCTGTCTAGAACCTCCGGTGCTGATGGCAATGGTCTGATCCCAGCGGACAAGCGACAGGCTGCCTTGACCGCACTTCTTGACCGCCTCAAGAACGAGACTACTCGTCTGGCTGCCGTCAGAGCAGTCGATAACGTCGCAGCTTTCAGCACTAGCAGTGGCCAGCTCGAGACGTCGTGGATTCGGGAGGTCGCGCTGGAGCTTGCGGGACAACTCCGCAAGGCTAACCGGGCTCTTCGCGGTTCTAGCGTGCTCGCACTCAAGCATTTGGTTGTGTCGCCGACCGCCAGAGGTCAATTGGATGCAGACACTATCCAGGGCCTGGTTTCGTCGTTGGTGCCTGTTATTAGCAACAACGACACTCATCTATTGGCACCCGCCCTGCTCATTCTCGCGACCCTCGTCGAGGAAAACGCCGATCTCGTGGTCACCCAGTCAATGACTGCTACTATCTGCACTCTGCTCAAGTCAAGCTACGCCAGCATCGTCCTAGACCAAATCCTCATTCTTGTCACAAAAGTTGGCGAGAGCGGCGCCGGCCAACCTCTCATGCAAGGGCTTCTCAATGACGTTAGTATCGAAGGAGATCCTGTTGTCGTGGGCAAGGTCATTGGTGCACTTCTCGTGGCCAGTGGAAGCTCGGCTGGCGTCACTGTTGAAAGCTTCATTTCCGAGTTGCAAACCAGTTCCAGAAACAAGGATGACGCTCGCTTGAGCTTGGCACTTGCGGTGCTTGGCGAGGCTGGTCTCCGTCTTGGAGCCAACTCGCCATTGAAGGCGGAGCTGTTCTTGCAACAATTCCACGAAGAGCCCGACAAGGTCTCCATCTCAGCTGCAGTGGCCCTTGGCCGTGCTGGCTCGGGCAATGTTTCCGAGTACCTTCCAGTCATTCTGGCAACCATGCAGAAGGGCGGGAACACGCAATACTTGCTTATCCAGTCAATAAAGGAGATCTTGCAGCAAGTCAACGTTCTCTCTGCCGAGGTCTCCAAATTCGCGGCCGATATCTGGCAGCACCTTCTATCTGCCTCTACTATTCCCGATAATCGGGTAGTGTGCGCGGAATGTGTGGGACGACTGACCATCATCGACTCCCAGACCTTCATGCCTCAGCTTCAGGTAAGTTGAACAGACTCATCACGGGTAGAGTAAAATTGACAACGTCACAGTCCCTTCTCAGAAATGAGAACCCCGACATCCGAGGCATGTCTGTTCAGGCTGTTCGATACACGCTTCCTGATAGTGACGAGGCTTTCGACGCCATGCTCAAGAATGTCCTTGTCGATATGCTGCTTGTCATGCTGCAGGACTCGGAGATGGATAACCGCCGCTTGGCGATGTCAACGCTCAACTCGGCTGCGCACAACAAGCCCGATCTTATTCTGCCTCACCTTGGCGAGCTGATGCCGTTTGTGTTGACCGAGTCCGTGATCAAGCCACAGTTGATCAGAGAGGTCATGATGGGCCCTTTCAAACATATGGTGGATGATGGCCTTGAAGTCCGAAAGGTATGTCTTGTTTTATCTTCGAAAGGTTGATCCCGGCTGTTACTGACCACAAATACAGAGCGCTTACGAGACCCTGTACGCTCTCATGGAGACGGCCTTCTCGCGAATCAACAACATTGACTTTTACGACCGCGTGGTCGCTGGTCTGAAAGATGACAACGACATTCGCAGCCTCTGCAA